AAAAGCCACCTGGTTGGTCAACACGAGGGGTCTGCCAACAGGGCTAAACATGGCATAACCAACCACTGTTTAACAGCAGATTATTAACAATGCAATTCTTGTTCTCTCTCTGGCCATGGGGAAGCTAATATTTGCAACGCAACATTTTAAACCTCCAGAAATGTATTTCATTATTTTAGTAATTATTAATAAAAACAAACTGAGAAGGTTGAAAAATCCCAACCCCAGTGCAGAAAGTGTCTCCTCCACAGTAATTTTATTTCAATTGCTGGAACTGAGGTTTTTTAAAAAATCTTAATTACACACTTACGTGTCTCTTTTCAGCTGAAAATTTATCTGCAGTTCAAATGAATAATGGTATTTAAGTAACACTATTCTGCCCTAGTTACATTAGGAACACTGAACTGTGCAACTGAAGTCACAGCAGGCAGGATTCAAGTCATATTTACAGAAATCAACCTCATTTTGGCTGTGGTGATTTGCAGAGAAAAACCCCCAAGAATTAAGCTGTCAGTGAATGGCACTGGGGAAGGGTGGCCAAGTACCTTCAGTAACCTGGCTTTGAATCTCCAGGACTGGTTTTTTATGACTTTTCAAGCAAGAGGAAACACCAAGCAATTCTTGACAACTCTGCTTTAGGGGAAGAGGAACCCATCCATCTTTAATATTGTACGCTTGCTGTTCATCCTAGAAAGAGCTGCTTTATGAAGTAAGGCTGCCAGAAGACCGTTCTGTTTCTGCACACAAAATACAGGGGACAGCTCCCTCCCCAGGCACACGCACATTCCCAGGGAAGGCACTACCTTTCCTTTTATCCATGGAGGCACTGTATTTGCCTTTAAACCAGCACAGACTAGGCCCCTTGCACCAGAGTTTTGCTCTTTTTTTCCCCTGATTCCAGGGAGTAAAGCAAGTGGAAAGATCTGCTGTCAATGACCTGCCATGAACCAGAACATCTTTTAGTTCCTGCTCTGAAAAACATTAACAAATGTCTTCAACAGTCTCAGCAGAAGAACCTAAAGAGCTTAGTGCATCCTGATACTTACTGCCCCACACTGCTTACAGTGGTGCCGCCTTTTAGTGATGGAGTTGAAGCTTTCGCTGCAGCTCTTGCAAGCCTGTTTCTCCTTGTCTCGCTTGGATTTGGAAGATTTCCTACAGGAATCACTCTGAAATGAAAAGTACAATTCTGTGATATTTTCTTTTCTTTTTAAAGATTGCAAATCAGCTCACAGAGTTCTCCTGCTGCCCAGGAGCCTTGTGTGTTTCATACCTTTTTAGAAAAGAATTCCCATCAACTCTGCTGATGGTGTGCGGTGGGTGGATGGCCAGCCACTGGGTGGTTCTGGGGTGCCATGATGTGATCTCAGATTGCTAAAGCCAATCCCCCACGTCCCTCTCTGCCTGCCTGTGCCCTTCCTGCCACTGAGCGACTTCATCTCCACCGCCCATTGGTAAGGAGGAACTGGCAAACTGATCTAGTTGAAGATGTCCCTGCTCATTGCAGGGGGGTTGGACTGGATGATCTTCGAAAGTCCCTTCCAACCCAAACTGTTCTATGATTCTACGTGGGCTTCTCAAGAGCAGCTTTCCTTCCAGTGCTCACCTCTTCCCCCTCTGCTGCAACATGACTTGGTTAAGCAAGGCAAATGCTGTTAACTTAGTGAGTGTGTTGTACCCTTCTGTTCACGGGGAGGAAAAGTGAAGGTTTTGGGGAAAATGGCTTGACTGAAGAAGTGAACGGTGCTGACAGTGGATTTTTGCACCACCCAACTTCAAATGCTTAAATTAGGAGTTTCTTTAGGCTGTTTCCCACCCATGATGAAATATAAAGCTACACAGGACAACAGGGACAGCCACACCAAGGACCTACTGTCAACTGCTCTGGGCAGCAGACACTTTATCATCTGTCTAGATAGCCAAGCAAGTTCAGCCTCTTAAGCTAAGCACCTAAGCTAGTACATAAAGTCACCCACAGAATCACACAGTGGTTTGGGTTAAAAGGGACCATAAAGCTCATCCAGTTCCAACCCCCTGTCATGGGCAGGGACACCTTCCACTAGAGCATGTTGCTCCAACCCCCTGTGTCCAACCTGGCCTCGAACACTGCCAGGGATGGGGCAGCCACAGCTTCTCTGGGCACCCTGTGCCAGTGCCTCAGCACCCTCACAGGGAAGAACTTCTGCCTCAGAGCTCATCTCAATCTCCCCTCTGGCAGGTTAAAGCCATTCCCCTTGTCCTGTCCCTCCATCCCTTGTCCAAAGCCCCTCTCCAGGTTTCTTGTAGCCCCTTTAGACACTGGGAGCTGCTCTAAGGTCTCCCCTTAAGAAGCCTTCTCCTCTCCAGGCTGACCCAGCCCAGCTCTCTCAGCCTGGCTCCAGACAATCGTACAATTTTCTGATAAACTGAAGACCATGAACATCATAATGTGCAGTTCACAAAAATACAGTTTCACAGAAAACTTCAAGCAGACCCCTGTTTTGTTCTCTTTGTTAAATAAATAAAGAGCATTCTTTCTTCCTAGTCCGGATGGCTGTGTGCAAGGGAACAACAGCTCCTTGTGGGAAGCCTGGGGCACCCCCAGCCAGGCAGTGTCTGCATGGAGACACACGCCCCAAGGATTTGGCTGCATCATGTTCCCTTGGCACAACTCCTTCATGAGAAGAGCTTTGGTAACTCTTCATTTTCGCTTGCTTGACACGATCATTTAACACACTACTGGCAGAAGAAACATTTCCTCTAAGTCAAAAGAGAAGAGATATTTTACAGTTTTTCTGAAAATCAACCAGGTGAGGACAGGACCTTTGTATGTTACACAGATTCTGGACTCCTTGACAGCCGCCCCTTCCGTTTAAAGCACTAGCACACACTAAGTCACAGCTTAAATCCACTTGAGAAAGAACAATTCGCTCAACGAATTTCCGCTTCTTCAAAGCTTTTCTTTAACACAGGATGTGGGCATGTGGGGGTGGGAGGAAAGACAGCAGCAATTACACTGAGCAGAGGCTGGTGGCACCAGCATTAGGGAAATCGTGCCACTCACTCTAAACTCTCACCTCAGTGGTTATGTCTAACTTGCAGAAGTCACTAAAACAGGTTTTCAGGCCAATTAAGAAAAACAAAATATCAGTTTTAAGCTGACACCTCTCTCCCATCTTTCAGCCTCCCTGGGTACAGAGGAAAGCACACTGTTTTTCAGCAGAGCTGCTGAAACCACCCTGGCGTTACAGGCCAAATCCACAATTAGTTACTTCTAATTGGATTGGCTTTTTTTATTTTTATTATCTTTTCTATAGCTGCAATAGCAATGTTTCAAACTTGTATACAAGTACATAGGGTGTACTGGAATTCAGCTTGGGGAAGCACAGCCAGGTGGATTTGTTCATTCAGGAAAATCACCACAGCCCCATACACACATATACCAATTGCTCAGAAAACCAGAATTCCTGCAAATCTGAGGCTTCCCTCCACAAAAGCAGACTGCAGAATTTCAGTGAAGAACCAGATGTAACCAGTCCCACTGGATTACACAAACTGAACAATGCATTGGATTAATCACCAGCACAAATGTTCCTCTCAGGCTCTATCAGACTCCTCCAAGGCAGGCATGTAATTAAGGCGATTTGGAAAGCTTTTACTGAGCAGTAGCAACCTACAGAGTAACTTTGTTATTTATATCACATATATAGGCTAAGGTCAGCCATTTCTTGCTCTGATTTTTATACCAATGCTATTAATTGTTTTAGAAGACTGATTTTCCTTCCCCTGGCTAGGGATGGGCTCCCCTTCAGTTTTTAGATCAGAGAAATTACCTCAGTGGTCAACCTATTTTTCTCTCCTTACTAGAATTTGCATATAACATAACAAGTCATTCGATTTTGATGGTAACATCATCACTAGTGTTACTGGAATGGTAAGAGCGTAAATGAAGGCACCTTTTAGCCTTGTGAGATGTGACTGGAAGATAATGCTGACGAATGCTAAACAAAACCAGTTGTTTGCTTTCAACTGATACCTACAGGTGCCTGCACAGGAAAAATACTAAAGTTCCTCTAACATGAATTGAATGGACTGCTTCATGTAGAAATTGGTTAATTTTTTGTACTTTAACAGGAATAGACATCGTCACCCACATTCATGTTTCTATAACACAGGCAAGACTCCAGTTGAACACTCTAATGGATCTCATACTTGACTTCCTTCTCAATGTGAAACAGCCTAGGCAGTGTTCACTAGCAGAAATACACAACCCATATATTTAACAAAGGAAAGAAAGCAAAAAGGGTGTTATAATGGCCAAGATTTGTTATGACAGTTACGCACGAGCTTTTCTTTCCGAGCATTGTATTTTAACTTGTGCTGTAGCATACAATAAGCGTTTAATACTAACTCCATTAATCAAAAAAGGCCGTGTATAAAGAGGCCTTTAGTGTTTGATGAATACCAGAAATGTGTCATAATATTCCTCAACATTATGAGAATACAGTGAGAACACAAGAGTTTGAAACATTGCTATTGCAGCTGTAGAAAATATAATGAAAAAGAAAACATACTTTCTTTATGACTTGGCAAATTCCAATGAGCAATTACATAAGAAAGACTTATTCGGTATTATATTTTTTAACTGCTGACACTGGAGAAGAATTAAGCGGCCCTTGGCTTTCCATCCCTGTGAAACCATGGGACCTTGCTGCACAGGCAGTCTCCTAATCCCACCCAGCAGCGTCTCAGGTTGACCTTGCCACATACTCTACCTATCGCCATCTGAAAAGAGAGGCTTTTGTAGAAAACAAGGACATGCATTGTCATTTACAAACCTTGTTCATCAAAGATAAATGTAACAGTCACTTTGCATCTGTGTCCTTTATTACACAAGCTACAGTATTTACTATTGATGTATGTTAAGAGGGAAGTACAAAGCTGCCCTGTCTTCAACTAATCTTGATACTAATGCACTTGAATAATTGTTGTATTTCTCATCTTTCTTCCTGTACCCAGCTCTGTTTTGAACCTGGTGAACCTGACATGAGAAAATACTTGGATAAAATCTGTTCAGAGGCAGGATCTACAATAACTTCTTTCAGACTGGGTTGTTTCAGCCACTACTGTGCTTTTACCCTACAGTTGCATTTAACTCTCTAAATCTTGACAGTTTCCTCCATGAGAGGTACAACTCCTACCTAGACCTAAGTGACTGCAAGGTGAAGGCCCGTGGCTGGCCTGCTTAGTGAACCACTGGAGCCTTCATTTGCTTCTGAGAAGGGGGGAGGAAATACTGAAGGGCTGGAAGGAAAAGCAAGAGAACCAATGGGCTCAGGAGGCTGTTGTTCTGTGGTTTATGACTTGCTTTATGTTTCATTCTGTCTGGGACGGGAAGTAGAAATGAGGCCTCAATGCTGTACATGCAATAAAAGCACACTGTGAGACACTTCTATAGGCAGATGCATGAGAAACAAAGGCATGTCAAATATTTTTCTTCTCATTATACTTATACTGCTGTGTATTTTCCATTTACACATTACACATTTGGAGACACCCACAACAGGGCAGAAAACCAGCAGATGCTTCTGGAAATCACAGAACCACAGAATGGTTTGTGTTGGAAGGGACATTAAAGCTCACCCAGTTCCAACCCCCGCC